CAAGGCAGGGCTGCTGCCCGCCGGCGGCAAGCCAACAGAGGACAGGCGAACAGGACGCGCTGTCAGCTCGGACCTTTTACTTGCTTCGCAAGTGTGGCCCTGCGGCACGGCTCCTCGGGAAGCCGAGGGCTCGGGACGCCGTTCCTGCGGCTCGGGCAGGTGTGAGCGGCTGGCGTCGGCGAGGGAGGCGGCCGGCCGGTGCGGCCTGGGCGGGCGGTCCCCGTCCCTACCGCAGGCCGCAGCAGGGAGGTGAGCCGTCTCGGCGTACTGCAGCGCTTAGGACATCGCAGCCCTGGACTTTGTCCTGGGCCGATGCTATCGTACCTCACAAAAAGGGACTAACGTGAAATTTTTAGGCCCTTCCTGGAGATGGTGTGGCCAATTTGGCTGGTGCCTCTGGTGACGAGCTGCGTGTGGTAATAGGCTTCAGTTTGCTGCGAAGCAACCTGGTGTCAATGCTGTTGTTGCAAATTTTAATATGAAGTTTCCTCCCTTCCTGTCATGGGACAGCCTGTCTTTCAAGTGTGCAGCATGATTTCTAGAATTCAGTTTCGCATGGTCCACTTTATAGGGTCATATTAATGGCTTTACATATATAACAGCCATCTGAAGTTTATGCTATAAGCTTGGTATTTTACAGACTATATAGACCATAACCACATATTCTGGTTGAAATAATGACGTTTTATTAACGTCTCTTACAAGCCTGTTGGTAAGGCAGCAAAGTCACAAAGGCCTACTGCATTATTATTATTAACACAGCTCCGTATGGGAGGATGTCCCACCAGAAGCTGTGTTACAGGTATCGATCGGGCAGGCTTGTACCCTGGCAGCTCGCACCCCAGCACACGGGGCTTCAGCAGGTGCAAATTCTGACTTGTTCCACTTAACCAAAAGAACAGCAAACTGCTCCATTGCCAACTGTGGCAATTGATGAGAATTTATAGAATTTGAATATAATAAATTGATTTAGTAATTTATATAAAAAATGAATGGATTTGTGTTCACACGAGTTTAACATTCAAGAAGGGCCATGAAATTTGGCTCGCAGAAGCCTAGGGCTCATCCTGCAAGTGACTTGTAGAATTAGGCCACAATATTTGTCATACCCTATTTCTTCCCAATTAACTAGTAAACTGATTTGATAAAAAAAGTGAAAACTACAGTCTGTTTTCTTACATTGCATTTCTGTGGTCGGCTTGCATAATAGTATAAAGAAGACAGCAGCTGCTACTACTACTTTTGTATTAATATCTGAAATGTTAATGGATTTCACAGTTTATACATGGCATAAAGGTCCTCATGCATGCTGTCTTTCAGCCAGATTTACTTGTTTTCCTTCCAGCCAGGTGTCCTTGACATCTCCATGGCAGAAAAAGTCTGTCACCCTAAGTATTTGACTTTCAAAAAATAAAATGAAGAGAATTTTAAGTATCATTTCCAAGTGGTGCCAGGCTGACAGCTCTCCTCCAATGGCTTTTTAGTTCAAACACACAAAATAACTGGCAGTTGCAATGCAAGTGTCCCTACGGTGTCACTTCTGCTTTGTGAGGCTTCGGTAGGTTTTTCAGCATGTTGACTTTACACCTTAGATCTGAGATTCTGTCTTTAAGTGACCTCAAGAGTGTTGTGACTCTGCAGGTAAAGCTGTTTTGGTTAGCTGCTGGGGAGGCTATGGGTGGTTTTAGGTTACTCCAGCATTTCCAGAGGTGGGAACTGGAGCCCCTCGCTCTATTCTGTCTCAGCAGCTGGGGCTGTACAGGGGCGTAACTTATGTAGTGAATTAGGGGAGTTTTGGTTCCCTGCAGCTGCTGAATCCTCACCCTTGAAGTTTCCATCTGAAGTACTTCCTTACAATGTTGCAGCCAGCTAGAAGCACCATCCTATGGCCCCTCTCTGTGGGTGGGGAAGGAGAAGACCCCGAGTGTGGCTTGGAAAGGAAGGTGGGCTGGAAGAGCCTGTGCTGTTGGCAGCGAGGCGCTCTGGCTGCTAGCAGTTGCTGGCAGCACACAGAGTTGGCAGCCCAGATTAGACTAGAACTTCCTCTTTTGTATCAGGTGACGAGTGACCAAAATAGAGGTCCCATTCACTTCCCCACAGACACTGCCATATAACCCTTAGAACCAGTGGCAGAAGAAATGACTGGGTTTTAAGATGATTCTGTTTTCTCTATTGGTGTTGCAGTGGCCAGGAGCAAAGCCTCTGACGCTGCTGTCCTCGCGGCGGAGAGTCTCAGTCAAGACAAATGAAACCGCCAGTGTATTCCTTCCACTTCAACTCCAGAACAGCACTGAGATGGGATCTCCTGATTATCTGCACTGACGGAGCAGTGAACTTTTCTATCAGATCACATACCATGTATTTCATTCTCCAGGAACTGTGAAGCTTTAACCCTACATTTTCTTTTCCTGAAGAAAGACCTCCAGTACAGCCTGCTATTACATTACTTCCCAGCAGTCAGCAAGGAGTGCTGCCAATTCAAATCATTTTCTCTTTGATGCTGCAGTGAATGCTGAATTTGTGTGCAATAATACCTTCTTAATTATTTAACTTCTTAAGGATTTTAAGGCTCTTGAAATCCAGAACTCTAAAAGGTGGTGTATTCATCCCACACTTTCTGTATAGGAATCAGTTTTAACTGTATCAAATATAAATAGCTACAAACATAGCTTTTACACATTAACAATGTGCTGGGGCCAAAGACGATTTTGCACAATAAAAGATAAGGTCAATTTATGTTTAATTTTTTGATTTCAGAATAAATGATGCCCTTTTTGTCCTCTCCCAATTTTGTTTGTTGTTTTTACTCAATAAAGAAACATTTCCTTCCTGGCTAGTGAAACATCCTTAGCTTAAGCAAGAAGGGTAAAATACAGATTCCATATTTCCAATCCTAAATTTCTATTTTAGGCTAATAGCTTTACAACTTTTGGCATAAAACTTAATACTATCTGTTACTTCAGTTGCTTTTTTAGGTTTTCACCTTAAAGTTTCCTGTATCATATTATCCACAAGGGCAGAGCAGAAGCCTGCATTTCTTGTTTTAGAATACTTACATATTTTTTTTAATCACTGTTTAGAATGCAATGGTACTTTTCTTTAACCACTATATTTAAACATTCAGTATTAAAAAAAACCAGCTTACAACTAAACTTCCCCTCTTCAGATGCTCCTATTACTATTCTCTAGATATTTTCTTGGCAAAAAAAATTTCCTTTCCTGGTTAGTAAAATAAGTCTCCTATTACATTTTGGACTAAAAGCTCTAGGATTGCTTTTAGAAAGATGAGATTTATTAAAAGAAAGGGATCTCATATGAGATAAGATGAAGGACTTTGGTAGGGGAAATCTATAACCAGACTCAAAATACATCTTAACAGCTATTGAGGTCAAGTAAAAATTAAAATCTAGGATGATTTTGAATGGAAAATGTCTCTTATTTTAGTAAACAGACAAATATATGACAGATATGCACAAACTTCCATCCACATCTGTAGACTCTAAATGATAAATTTCTTCTGTTAAGATAGCTTCTGGCCCAATAGCACATTAAAACCTAAATTTGTCCTGTGACCTGTTTATCAAAGTGCTGTAGCGTTGTGGCACCTGGCCATCTGGTAGACTCCAGTGCTCTGATTTATAGCCAAGACTCGACCCGCAGGCGGGCAGGGGAGTTAAAATTCACCTAATTCTCACTCTAGATGCCTGGATCTAATCTGCAATTTGCCAAACTCCACGCAACCACCAGCTAACCTTTGGGGGCTGCATTAAGCCCTCTCTCATGCCTAATGGCACGGCACTGCTCAGGTGTGGCACTGGTCTGCACCAGGGCTGGTCTGGCTAGCTCTCGTGCAGCAGGGGCGACAGCAGTGTCAGAAGGGACATTCTCCCCATTCCTCGGTGGTTAGGTTATTCCTAGGATTTTGGGGGAGTCAGGTTTGCTCCTTTGCAATCTCCAGACTTTGATTTCTTACTTCCTACAGTGTACTCAGCTGGAAGAATA